GAGAGGATAGATAAAAAACAACTGCGCTTCTGGTTTTGAGCAATGTTAAACCTGGAAATGTTTTGTATTTTCAAGCATTCTGCAGCACTAATGGAATAAGAGTCATTTACAATTCTAATCAACACTTTTGTGATATTAAGCACGGCGGCTTGTTCGCACACAAGGTCAAATTTTTATGCTTCCATTGCTGCAAGATTGTGATTAAGATCGTTAACTTGTGAAATATGCCTGTAATGGCATTGTACCTCAAAGATATTTGCTGTTTATTTATTGAAAGTTGGTAAAAACCATTTATATAATAGTATTTTTCCATATTTTGTGATTCATGTTTTTATTTATGCTTTCGAAATTCTTTTTGAGACCTTGATCTTTCCTCCAGCAACTTTTAACCTTGAAAAGAAAGCATTTTTAATACTTTAAAATGATATATTTTCTGGGTTGGTGTTGTAGATTGTGGTACAAAAACCTTGCAATAAACTGCCAGTACATTTTTTGTTACTTGTTTCTCTCTATAATATTTTTTATACATTATATTATTTTAAACTACTAAAATGTCAATAAAAGGTATTTTGTTAAACTGTAGAGTTGAATTTTCAACAAAAAAAGTGGACAGAGCAGAGATCAAGGTCTCAAAATGCAATTCAAAGTATGGAAACTGTCAAATAACTGTTTTATAGATGGATGGATGGATGGATGGACGGACGGATATGTATATGTATATATATATATATATATATATATATATATATATATATATATATATATATATATATATATACATATATATATATATATATATATATATATATATATATATATATATATATATATTTACTTATTATTTTTTATTATTAATAGTTAATTTGTTCCTATTTTTTTTATTTGCTTTATTTGCTTACTATAAATTACTACAGTATTAAATGTGGAAAATCATTAATTAAAAGATTATTAGAAAGTTAAGCAAATAAATAAACACTATTAAATCGCTTGAGTAAAATATTAATATAGTGTTATACATTTCTTACTTGTAAAAATATTTTTATTGCATATAATGTATTATTGCCTATATTAACTTGCTATTATTTCCTTCATCAAAAATTAATGCATTATGTAAACTAAACATGTCCAAATTAGATCGTTCAGCAAGGCCAGCAAACGAGTATGTGCTATATTATTGTCAGATAATGACTGATCAGCTATAATGACTGATTAAAAACTGTTCAGTCTATTATACTGAATGGCGATCGGAAACAATCCTCCCCATTCGGCCGTTTCGATTGAATATTTGTGAAATAAAGTAAAGTAAACACTGTTGTTTCTTGTGTACAATATTTATTAACCATATATATCAAAATATATAGATGACGATGTTCAAAAAGACGTTAATAACATTAACATCCGTCGTAACCATATATGGTTTGCCTAGATTGTGTGTGCCTAAAACGTGTGTGGTTCTGCGGGCCTGCAGCTGGATATTATTGGGGTTGAGCCGAGAAACGCACCCCCCCGCCATTCCACATTTAAAAAAAATCAAAGGCCATAATTGATTAAAACATTAAAATGATCATTATTTTGATGGATAAAGACAGAACTATATTAATATACAAAACGCATTTTAAATGATGATTCTTCAGTAACCCTGACTTTGAATTAAAAACGAACTTTTTTTCTCAGGATTAACAGATGCAAAGAAAACATCGGTTCCCTCCTAATCTCCTGTCAGTTCAGCAATGGTTGTACTATTTTATAGACATTGTTCAACTAGAACAGTCCACTGCCTGAATTAACAGAGCAAAGATTTCATCAATCCTTCATTGGAACCAAATACATGACAATTTGATCTCCATTATTAAAACTTAAGTGATTTAATTAAACGACGCAGGAGAAACAAAATGTCTCAGGATATAGGTGACCACAAACTATCTTTTCTTTCTGTTTGACGTTTTACAATAATTTTAGTAGACACTTTTTTCATTTATGTACTTCTCTGACATTATGTATATAGTTTATTTTCTTATGCTTATTTACAGGTTTCTGTATGCATATATGTATATATTCATATGTGTGTGTTTGTTTGTGTACATATATAATTAGTAATTTTTTATTTTTGTTTCATATTGTTATTAACCATGTTATACACATTGAACCAAGTCAATGTTGAGAAATTCTGTCTGTTACCATTGATGATAACCATGTTTATTAAAAACACAATAATTAATTTAAACACATTTTAAAACGCACTAGGTTTACAAATAATTGTAAAATAGTAATATTAACTGTAGTGTAGCCTAAAATTAGGCTTTTTGCTGACTTTTAGGCTACATGGAACACATCAAATTGTTATTTTTTAATTACAAAATCAATTTGTACCACTGTAGAAAAATACTAATGGTAGTGTTAAAACATTTTGACAATTACAATGGCCTCATTACAATCATGTTCATGACAGATTTATAACAAGTCATGTCATCTTGGTAATGTCAAGTTGTTGGATTATGTAGAAAGCTCTCCTCATGGTTGATGTATACCTCTCAAAATATGTAACTACACATCGCAACAACGCGTAGCGCAAGCTCTGGGATTGGCGTCCGTGGGTGGGACCGAGAGCTGAGCGAACCTGTTGGAACGAGTGTTTACAAGAGTCGAGTTACATGAAGAAGCTCCAGAGGGAAAATTTTGTTTTGCGTTTACCTTATGATTAAAGTTGTTGCACATCCGCCGATTCCGGCCTCAAAATGAGCGAGTTTGAGCTACTTGTACATTAAGGAAGCGTTCAGAAAAAACAAAACACCAGCGAAGAAACTCGACACAGAGAAACATAACACTTACTGCCAGCTAGCGTTTTGGAAATGTTATTGCAGAGCAACATAAACAAATGCAGGACTACATGCAAGGCATGCGCCGTGGGTGATGTCGATCACTCGACGCAGAAATATAAACCAGGCTTAAAACATAAGAAAAACATTGACTGTGCATTAAATTTAAGATTCAAAACAAGAACGTACTCAGACTGGCTTAAAGTGTGTCTGTAGAAGATGGCACAGTGACTTATATTTCCATTAATATTCTTACCGTACGTTCACACCGAAAGCGGCGAGAGCGTCAAAACTCGCTACATTGATCTCATATTTAAAGGAGCCGTTGCAGCATATCAGTTACATTCCTGCATGTTTCTAGCGTGAAAATGTTGCGCACTTCTTATCAAATTCATACAACAATGGAAGATCAAGTTGCGTGTGGCTTTGCTCTATTTATCTATTTATTTATATACCTGAAGCAGCAGTACTGTTTTGTACTGTCACATCGCGTGAGATTTCCGCTTTTTTAAGATAAATATATAACATTAATGAACATCAGTAACTCGCCAGTAACTTATTTAATGCATGTTCCTGTAGGAAAACATTGTAAATAATTGGAAATCCGGCGACCGCAATAATCAAACCCTTGGGAACAACTGTGGTCGGAACCAAAGTTCACAGGTCTGTGTTCTCTGAACTGCTATCAAGCGGTGGACGTCTTCATTCTGATTGCTTGCCGCCGAACCGCGTCATAGCTCATTACCATAAAGTTGACTTCATTTCAACTCTCCTCGACGCTCACGCCGGCGAAGACGCGCCGCGCTGATCCTCGCCGCTTATCGCCGCTTATCGCCGCCGGCTCTCATTGAAAATGAATGACTTCCGGCTACTTTGACGCTCTCGCCGCTTTGGTGTGAACGTACGGTTAGTAAATGCAGGGTTGAATTTGTTCCCTGCCCTCAAAATATATTGGTATTTACAGTTATTGTCGGCCCCAAATAGTGAGGGGAAAGGGGGTGGGTGGATGGCGAACATAAGCGGGGAATAATTGAACCCGCAGGGGATGGGGAGGGATGTTTGGGTGGTTGTAGCGATCATAAGTGAAGAACGGGTGGGGGTGGCGATCTTAAGCGGCTAGTAAGTTATGAATGGGGATGGGGGTGGTGATGGGTAGTGTGGCGCCATGCGTGGAAAAAAAAGTGGAGTGTTGGGTAAGAAAGAATCCTGCTAATTTACATTTACATTTAGTCATTTAGCAGACGCTTTTTTCCAAAGCGACTTACAAATGAGGACAAGGAAGCAACTTACACAACTATAAGAGCAACAATGAATAAGTGCTGTAGGCAAGTTTCAGGTCTGTAAAGTCTAAGAAGGAAAGTATTAGCACTTTTTTTTTTTTGGGTACAGTTAGTGTGATATCCAGAGAGGCAATTGCAGATTAGGAAGTGAAGTGGACACTAAATAGTTGATTTTTTAGTCGTTTCTTGAAAATAGCGAGTGACTCTGCAGTTCTCATGCAGTTAGGGAGTTCATTCCACCAACTGGGCAGATTGAGCGTGAGCGTTCGCGAAAGTGATTTCTTCCCTCTTTGGGATGGAACCACGAGGCGACGTTCATTCACAGAACGCAAGTTTCTGGAGGGCACATAGATCTACAGAAGTGAGAGCAGATAAGAAGGAGCAAGGCCAGAAGTCACTTTGTAGGCAAACATCAGAGCTTTGAATTTGATGCGAGCAGCAACTGGCAGCCAGTGCAAACGGATGAGCAGCGGAGTGACATGTGCTTGTTTAGATTCATTGAATACCACTCGTGCTGCTGCGTTCTGGAGCAGCTGAAGAGGCTTGATAGAGTTAGCTGGAAGCCCAGCTTGTGGGAGTCTCATGCCAAATGCATGAAAGTTGGCAGCCCTGGTAAATACGTTTGGACATGCTCGATTGTTATACACACCTTTGCACCGTGCTTTTTAGGCACAGTGTCAAGATCAAAACTTTGACCCGCTGCACCACTCACTAACGTCAGTCCCAAAGCAGTGGACCAATCAGCAGAACTTTGAGGCGTGGCACGCATTGCAAGCTTCTAGGTAGCTAGTTGGCTTTACAACTGTTTAATTTGATGCCACCATGGCAGAATCACACATAAAAGAAATGTAAATACCTTAATTACTAATAGACAGCGCCCTAAGTTTTAAATAACTATCGCAAACACGGTCAACATTATTTTATTTTCATCGAACAGCAAAACACAATCAAAACACAATCCACATTAGTGTTCTTAGTGCTCCAATTCACTAGTGCATGATTCATAAGCTCATTACGATTCGTTCAGTATGATTCACAATTCATTAGTGTATGCGGGTAAAGGGGGCGATCTCGGATACAACCATAGAGAGAAAACCAGGGTTCCAGGGCAGGCAGCATAAACAAATCGCAGAACAAGAGAGCAGTCCAGAGTCAAACACAGAAATCCAAAGTAGGAAAACCCTAGGTCAGCCAGGAAACACTAGACTTCGCAATATGTGTGAGCTCGAGTGTGGCTTAAATAGACAATGGGAAACAGGTGAGTGAGTAATCAGCGCAGGAGATTGTGGGAAATGGAGTTCCACTCAGGTGGCCAGGACCACAAGTGTGGATATTTGGACAGGAATAATTTGTAAGCTTTTCTGTGGACTAAAATTAGTTGAACGTGTTTTTAAGGGCTCGCTGGTACCCTATTACCATGAGGGTGAGGGCACGGGTGAGTTAGGAAATCACTTGTTTTTAACCGTCTTACCACACTCAGACCTGCTGAATAAATTAATTTTGCAAAAGTCTTTTCAGACTTCTCACTCTGACAACCCGTGAACTCTCATGTGAGAAGAAAGTTTCTTTCGAACTCTGAAACTCGCACCACACTCCTGGCAGGTGAAAGTCTTTTCTCCAGTGTGAACGATCATGTGCGCTGTGAGGTTCGTCTTCACTCTGAAACTCTTTCCACACTGTTGGCAGCAGAAGGGTTTTTCTCCGGTGTGAATTCTCATGTGGAATTTAAGGCCCACTAGTTGACTGAAACTCTTTCCACACTGCTGGCAGCTGAAAGGCCTTTCTCCGGTGTGAACTCTCATGTGGATGTTGAGGCTTAAAGTGTGAGAAAAACCCTTTCCGCACTGTTGGCAAGTGTAAGGCTTCTCTCCAGTGTGAATCCTCATGTGGACCGTTAGGTCTCCTTGTTGAATGAAGCTCTTTCCACACTCTGGGCAGGCGAAAGGCTTCTCTCCGGAGTGAAATCGCATGTGGATTTTGAGGTATCCCTTTTGAGCAAAACTTTTTCCACACTCTTGGCACGTGAACGGTTTCTCTCCAGTGTGAACTCTCATGTGGAGTTTGAGTTTATCCTTTCGGGCGAAAGTCTTTGGACACTCTTGGCAGCTGAAAGGTTTTTCTCCAGTGTGAACTTTCATGTGCTTCTCGAAGGTTCTCCAGTTTTTGCATCTCCTTCCACACTTCTGGCATATAAAACAGCCATCTATAAAGTGCGTTAGCATGTGCTCTTTAAAGGTTTTTTTATGTTCGAAACCTTTTTCACACTCGTAACATTTGTTTGTTGTTTGTGAGGAAGAGTTTTCAGTTTGTGGGCATCTACAAGATCCCTCTCCTGTTATGAAATGACTTCTGTGGGGATCGTCAATATTCAATTCATTCAGATCTTGAGTCTCCTCTTTCAGCATAATCGGGTCTAAAGCAAAAAAGACAATGTAAAATATTAGCCGAAATTACAGGTATATAGCAACAACTGTCAAAACATTTAGAGCAGAGGTGTTCAACCCTGTTCCTGGAGATCTACCTTCCTGCACAGTTCTGCTGCAACCTTGATCAAACGCACCTGTCTTTAATTACCAAGTTCTTCTTTAGATCCTACTCTACTAGAGTCTGTGCATGCAAAATTTAGTCGTACGGCGCTGCGAAAAGAGGCGGGGTTAAAAAGAATAAAGATTAAAAAAAGTGATGCACGGGAATGCAACAGACCAGAAACGCAAGGTCATGCGTCAAGTTTCGCAGATCGATGCATTGGAAAGTTCAAGCTTGGTGAACTGACCTGCGAAATCTTATCACTCGACTGTGTGAGATCAATCGAGGATCAAAACGTGACCTCTCTGGACAGAAATTTAAAACATGGAGCAATCGCTCGCTTTTTTAAATGACTAATCATGTTGTTTAATCCCGGACCCTTCCGCAGCGCCATACGACAGAATTTTCCACGCACAAACTCAAGTGTGACCGCAGCTTTAAATTATTAATCTCTGGCTCAGATGGCAGCAATTTAAGTTCAGCCCTGCTGAAAAATCCAGCTTTAACCAGACTAGGCTGATTGGCTGGTTTTAGCTGGTCGACCAGGCTAAATTTAGAGGGGTTTTGGCCATTTTCAGGCTGGTTTCCAGCCATTTCCAGCCTGGTCTTAGCTGGTCAGGCTGGAAAATGACCAGCTAAATCCAGCTAAAACCAGCTTGACAAGCCTGGTTTAAGCAGGATATAGCTGGTTTTGGCTTGGCTCCCAGCTTGGCTAGGCTGGTCAAGCTGGTTTTAGCTGGTCATCTCCCAGCCTGACCAGCTGAGACCAGGCTGGAAATGGCTGAAAACCAGCCTGGAAATGGCCAAAACCCCTCTAAAACCAGCCTGGTTGACCAGCTAAAACCAGCCAACCAGCCTAGGCTGGTTTAAGCTGTTTTTTTCAGTAGGGAGCATAGAATAATAAATCTGTTTATTGGGCTATTAGGCATCTTGCTCAAAAATGACCAAAACGTTTTGATGATTTCCCTATTTAAAGCTCGGGCTCTTCTGTAGCTACAACCTTCTACTGAAAATAAAAAGCTGCTAATTTCTAGACCTTTTTTTGTACCAGAAGTTTATCATAAAATCTGAGAAAGCTCATTAAAAGTAGCAGCATATCTTTTCTGTGAAATTAGTTATGTTTTTGTAAATCTGCCAGTTTAGTATATTTACGAATTGCAGAAGATTGAATGCAAATTAAACCAGAAATAAGAACTCAACTTGATATAAATTAATGTTTTAGTGACACATATAAAACTAATATTTCATTGCTTTGGGGCGAGGCAGCAAGAAGGTCGCTGGTTCGAACCTCGGCTGGGTCAGTTGGCGTTTCTGTGTGGAGTTTGCATGTTCTCCCTGAATTCGCGTGGGTTTCCTCCGAGTGCTCCGGTTTCCCCCACAGTCCAAAGACATGCGATACAGGTGAATTGGGTAGGCTAAATTGTCCGTGGTGTACGTGTGTGTGTGTGAATGTGTGTGTGGATGTTTCCCAGAGATGGGTTGCGGCTAGATGGGCATCCGCTGCGTAAAAACTTGCTGGATAAGTTGGCGGTTTATTCCGCTGAGGCGACCCCGGATTAATAAAGGGACTAAGCCGACAAGAAAATGAATGAATGAATTTCTTTGCTTTGTTTTTATGATTTAAAAAACAAAACAAAAAGAGTAACATATTAAATTAAATAATTAAACAATTGAGCTTTGAAAGTGAAAACCAACCTGTCTGTTCCTGCGAATCTTCATATTTGATTCTGAACGTTTCTTCAATCTTCAGGTCTTCACTCTCCTCTTTAATAAACGCCATCTTTATAACAGTGTGGAGATCAGTCGCTTCAGCAGGAGTTTTCCTCTGTGGGTTTAAGTAACGCACATTTAATAATCTTTGATTCTATAAGACTGCATTTAAGCCAGTGGTCTCAATTCCTTGAGGGCCACAGCTCTGCATAGTTTAGCTCCAACTCACACCTGTTTATTAGTCTCTTGAACATCTTGGTTAGTCGGATCATCTGTGTTTGATTAGGGTTGAAGCAAAACTGTGCAGAGCTGCGGCCCACCAGGAATCCAGTTCGAGACCTATGATTTAAGCCTGTGCCAGTTGCAATAAAATGACCATTTTTATATTCTACACTGCAAAAAAGGCTTTTCTTGCTTAGATTTTTTGTCTTATTTCTAGTCTAAATATCTAAAATTTCTTATATCAAGAAGCATTTTCTAGACAAGCAAAACAAATTGTCTTGTTTTCAGAAATAACATGCAAATATTAAGTGAGTTTTTCCGTAAAACAAGCAAAATAATCTGCCAATGGGGTAAGCAAATTAATCTTGTTTTTTCTTTTGACGTAATATTATTTTGCTTACCCCATTGGCAGATTATTTTGCTTGTTTTACGGAAAAACTCACTTAATATTGGCATATTATTTCTCAAAACAAGACAGTATGTTTTGCTTGTCTAGAAAATTCTTCTTGATATAAGAAATTGTTAGATATTTGGACTAGAAACAAGACAAAAAAAATCCAAGTAAGAAAAGCATTTTTTGCAGTGTATAAAAATATAAATATAAACAATAATATTGAAATCTAATTGGTGAATATGCTGGTGTATTTAGTGAATTCATTTGTAAAAAATGTTTTCATGTGAAACTTCTTTTAATATTGCTAAAAATTATGGATTATCTACTAATGGACTCTTTTCACAAGACTATTAAGATGCGTTTAACGGTCATCAGCATAATAAATCCTTGAAAATATGTAATATTATGATTTTTTTTAAAAGTATGAACATTTGTATTTGTGTATGCATTATATAACCTTTGCATGTGGACTGTGAATCTACCCCTATACAATTAAAGGAGGTAAAGCTGGTTTTATATTTGCACATTTAAGCTTTTAAACTCTTCCTAATATAATTTCAGTATTCTTTGCCAGTTCTAAATGGTGGAATCCTATTAGCTGCCAAAGACCATCAAAGTACAACACTGATCACAGTCAATTAACTAGTGCTAATTAGTGGTAGGCAAAGCGAGGCTTCGTGAAACACTGAAACAGTCGAAGCAAATGTGTCGAAGCTTCGAAACGTTTCGAAACCCCACTCTACAGTGACACCTAGTGGTCATTTTTTTATGTATTGCACTGAAACGGCTTCAGCAAAGAACAGTTGAGCAAATTGAGGCATTAAACCCCACTTTGCATTATACAACCTTCAAGTTATATAGTGGAGTGGTTAAGGTGTTTGTCTTCCATGCAGGAATAGTGGGATCGAATCCAGGTCGATGTAGTTTTGAAGTGCTTTAATACCAGTTGGTTATGCATTGCTCTTGTATCGTTTTGTTTCAACATTGGTCTGATATCCGAATAAACAATTTGTTAATAAATATGTCTTGTTTTGGTCTTAAAACAGGAATGTAATGCTAGATCAGAAACTGTGATCTGAAGTTATCAAGAATTATTTATATTATTCATTAAATTTCCCATTTATTGTATTTTATTAATGTCTACCCAAACCCAACACATCACAGTACTGTAAAATTATTAATTATAGTTTTACAGTGTTACAAAAATGATGCTATATTGAGGGCGCAACTGCAGCTGTATCCTATTTAGGCTACACAAAACAGAAACATGATTAAAATACATGAAACCATGATTTCAGAGAATTTGTACAAGTCGGGATTCGAACCCAAAACGTAATTTGAAGCACAGTATCAGCGTGCACACGTACAGTCCACTAGGCCATATGAACCGGGAATTTTTTCGACCTTGGCAGCCAAATGAAGATTCGCCATGTCTCGAAACGCTTTTAAGCTGATCCATGCTTTGAATCGCTTTAGTTACGTGACCAGGTGTTTCGAAACACTTTAAGGCTGATTTATACTTCTGCGTCAAACGCCGGCGTATGCTACGGCGCTGACGCTTAGCCCTTCGCCGTGGCCGTCGCTGATGTGCACCTCTCAAAAATTGTAACTACACGTCGCAACGACGCGTAGCTCAAGCTCTGTGATTGGTCGGCTTGGTAGTCACTTGACGCAGAAGTATAAACCAGGCTTTAGTCACGTGACTTGGGTGCTTCAGATCATGCTTCGGTGCAGCGTTTCGAAACACTTGCGCTTTGGGATCTCGACACTGTGTCGAAACGTCAGTTTCACGTCAGCCGCCCCTAGTGCTAATGTTGTTTTGAAGTCATACTCGCATCCTACATAAGACCAAACATTCAAAGTAGTGCATCGCAAGTTCTTACTGTTCTGAAATGAATGAACGTGTGAACATGAAACCAACTTTACCTCAGTCCATATACAATAGGGGTCGGCGATATGACCTAAAATTAACATCACTGTATTTTTCATCTTTTGGAACGGTGACAGACGGTATAATATCACGGTATAATAAGCTTTTTTTGGATACATTTTGGGAGGAGTAGCCTGTCCCTTTAATATGTGAATAAAGTTAATATTTTTATAATATAATAAGTAAATGGTAGGCATCTTTATCTAAAAGAGACATGGGAGAGTATTATGCATTCTCAACATATTTATTTTGCAAAAAAAAAAAAAACTTAAAGATCTTACTTAACGGTGTACACCAAAACAAAAATTAGCAGTGTAATGACACAAGAACAGTGTACAGGGCTCAACAATAAGGACTGCCCAGTGGCCCAGAGCTAGCGTGAAAGATGCTCGGGAAAGTAGACAGGATTGAAACTGACCCCTATCGGCCAGTAACGATGAGCTCTAGGGATGTAACAATATTGTCAATACCGTCATACCGCAATAGTAATTTTTTTCAATACTACCGTAGGCGCATGACTCAATAAAACTCTATTTCTGAGAAAAGTTTGCTCAGGCGAATGAAGCGAACGGGAGGTAGCGGGAACTACAATTCCCATCAGCCTAGGCGTGGCCATCATCCTTTGCGGTCTGTTGTCACTACAGATCCAGTAATGCGGAAATGGAGTGTGTGAACCTAAAGCGGGTTTTAAATCGGATGTGTGGAAGCATTTCGGTTTCTTTCTAAAAAGATACGAAAAAGGAGAAAAGGTGACACAGAAAAAATACAGTATGCAGGCACTGCCAGACTGTGGATTAGGGTTGTAACAATATACCGGTATGACGGTCTACCACGATTTGAACGTGCACGATTATCATACCATGAACAATTGCATATCAACGGTTTTAACCCTTAAAGACCGAGACAGCCGCCCGCGGCTAAAAATAAGTATTGCTCTTAAATGTTTAATAACTTTTGATCCGCTGATCCGATTCATACAATTCAAAGATTGGCATAAAGAAGAGAGTCTCAGCTTTCCAGTGCTGTATCACATAACATTCGCGGACTTTCAGAGGCTGCGGAATCAGTGCGGTTACGTCATCAACATTTAACAACGCTGATTTGACACTCGTCACTGTGTCTCCGGAAAAATCAGACATGATACATTGATGCATTGTCCCTCCTCCATGCCCAGATTGGTTCAAACTCGCTATATCACAACCAATAAGCATAGGTTTCGCTTTTGTTTGTGGACCAAGCTTTTTGAACAAGACGGAATGAGAGATAGGCATACATTTATGCGCGGCTAAATAAAACGCAAAAAAAAAAAGTTCTGCATGAAATAATTCTCATACTAAGCACTTTTGCATGCACAGCAGCACAGAAACATGACAAAACAGTGACACAGCAAAGACGAACTGCTGCTCTTGCTGTTTTCAAAAGACGCAAATGAAGGTGCAGCTGTTTGTCTGCATTGCAGACAACCATATCCAAATCCATATCCACAGACAACCATATCCATGCTGGCACATAAAACCTAAGGATGTTCCATATTGAATCTAGTTTCGTTATGTAACTATTTATAGTATAGTAAATATTTATATCTATTTTTTACTGAGGATTTGCACCATGTTTATTTGGACTTTATTTGGACTTTGACACATTATTTATTATTTTCTTATTTTTATTTGTTCATTGTAAGTGTTGTTTATAGTAACTAAAAATATATTATTTGGAAAAAGTCAAATTTGCTTCACTGTTCTATCATTTTGTAACATTTGTAACATACCGTATACCGCGAAACCGTCAAACCGTGGTATTGTTTTAGACGATTATCATACCGTAAAAAATTCATACCGTTACAACCCTACTGTGGATAAATATAAGTCGGGGAATACGACTAATAACAGTCATGGGGACTGCAGAACACAGCACACTTGTTAGATTGATGCAGACATTGACTTGTACCGCAAAGAGACCTCTATCTCACTCATGGCTTGTCCTCTCAAGTGGTGGAAAGACAATGCACAACGTTACCCCACTGCGGTCAACCTCGGCTAAATCATATCTCTCTGTCCCAGAAACCTCAGTCCCAAATGAGAGGGTTTTTTTCTGTTGCAGGGGACATTGTAAATGCCCAGAGATCCCAGCTTTTGCCAGATTATATATATATATATATATATATATATATATATATATATATATATATATATGATCAGTTTTCTTAAAAACAAAAACCCATCTCTATCTGAGTGAGTGAGTGATTAAATGTTGAATGTGATGAGTTTTCGACAATACTAAATTGAAACTTTATTTTTTTATATAGTTTAATAGTTTTTTTTTTATTAAAATTGAAAAACTGAAGTTCCTGTTTCGAAACTCACAGATAGATGGCTAATTTGTATGTCATTGATATGTTCAGCGCTAAGGTAAATAAACACTTTTGGCACTTTTTTCGAGTCTTTTCATTAGTTTTGTTTTGCTGTAAATCACTCAATAAATACCGTACCGTGCCATTCATATCGAGGTATTATCGTACTGTGAAATTCTGATACCGTTACATCCCTAATGAGCTCGTTATTATTATTTTTTTGTAAATTTGTAACTAGTACAGCGAAAAGATGTCAACATGAATCAAACTATGAGGCTCAAAGAAAACGTCTGTTTCTGAAGTCTTGGAAGCAGACAATTTACATGGGTACAAAATTCAGAAACCAAAAAAAAAACAGTTGTCCTCAGTTTGTCAAGCCATTTTTATAAAAAATCATTTAGAATTGCAATAAAACACCAGCACATTTCCCATACTGCTCTTTCGTTGCATAAAATCTAGAATTTAGCTCATTGTACATTTATTAACATTTTTTAAATGTTTAAATTTTACATTCACATCCATTATTTTGTCCCATTATTTAAAATATGTGGCTAAGAAATAGCTCACTTTTTTTTCTTTTTGGTGGGGCCATTGAAAACTTTGGCAGGGCAAGTCAAAAGCCCCTTTCACACAGTGATACCGGTAAATATCCGGAAAATTTACGGAACGACTTTACCGGTATATACAAAAAAGCGCTGTACACACAGGCGAGGACGTTACGGAATTTTTCAGGAAAAGAGCATTCACACATCCATTCCAAAATACCGGTAAATTCTGATATCATTCACCACAAATGAGCTTTAAACGGCTGCGCTTGTATTTGTAAACATTTGACTACATTACAAACTCTGTGGATGATCAATATTGTGAACAACTTTCACAGGATCATATTTGCATGTCGAGATGTTCATAATATGTGCGTGTGCAGGCGCTCACAGGCTGTTTCATGGGCACACGCAAAGCTTGAAGGTAAACAAACAACGGCTTATCATAAGCATCTCATCGATGATTATTTACACAGTTGGCATTAAGAAGAACATATAAACGTGATCTGACTAACTTCTAGCAGCTAAATGTGTCTGGAAAAATATTCAAAGGCTTTTATTCTCACAAACCGCGCGGACGTAAATGCGTCTGACTGTTGTGATTGGCTAAAGCAGACGTCTCACGTCAGCACGTTCTAGACGTGCACGGGCTTATTCCGGAAATCTTCCTTCTGCGTTCACACAGCGCAGCATTCCGGCAAATTGCCGGTAATGTTACAACTTCTCTTTCCGGAAAATAGCCAGAACGAATTTACCGGTATTTTCACAAAGGACCCGTTCACACATACAAGCTTTGTATGTGTGAAAGGGGCTAAAATCTCAACCATTGGCCCAATCGGCCCAGTAAAAAAAAATCCTTAGCGTTGAACCCTGGTGTGATAATGTGTACTTTTCACAAAAGCTAACTCTCCCTTCATCTGAACTCTGATGAAACTAGACAGTCAAGTTCTTTGCCAGGAACACCAGCCTGTCAACATTTTCCGGCTTCAGTGATGCCCTGGAGCTTGTTACAATATTGCCCCCTGTGCTGAATGCACGCTCGGAGGGTGAGCTTGTGGCTGGGATGCACAAGTATTTTTTTTGCCAGATGGCTAATGCACGGAAACATTGGAGACCACTTCAGTGGATCAGAGTCACTGTCAGCCGTTACCACCATGTCAATGCCCTGCTGCAGTTTCCTCAACAGCGGCCTCTGTCTCTCCGTCTGGTTCTGACACTCCACTCATCTCTTCTCAGACCACAACTGAACATTTGAAGAAAATTGAATGCCTTATTTTTTAGAATGAGCTATTATTGATGTAAATGCTGCTGTTCTTGGAGTATAATTGATTTATTACGGTATTGATGATATTAGAAAATCAATGTCGTGGCGCAATGTCACACCGGTGATGACTATGACACTGGTGTACCGCCCACCCCTAATATACAATATAAGTTAATTTGGCAATGTACATAAAGATATTTCGCAAATTTCCTACTGTATATCATCATTTTATTTTAATTAATAGTTGCATTGCTTTTTTTATTTAATTTAAGGATATTTTCAAATGTATCTCGGCCATCCCTACTGAAAAAACAGCTTAAACCAGCCAAACAGCCTAGGCTAGTTTAAGCAGGATTTTTCAGCAGGGATTACATTAGACGCTGTACTCAACTATATGTTTAAAAAGATAAATAAAGCAAACCCTTTATGACTGGTTTTGTGGTTCTGGGTCACAGATGATTGCAAAAGGTTTGTAAAAATACATATTTTTTGTTTTTCCCTACTGGAAAAAAACAGCTTAAATCAGCCTAGGCTGGTTGGCTGGTTTTAGCTGGTCAACCAGGCTGGTTTTAGAAGGGTTTTGGCCATTTCCAGGCTGGTTTTCAGCTATTTCCAGCCTGGTCTTAGTTGATCAGGCTGGGAGATGAGTAGCTAAACCCAGCTTGACCAGCCTGGTTTAAGCTGGACAT